TTCCTTCACTTGCTGGAGGCGGCTTGTCAGGGCCACAGGGATGGATGGGGCCTGGGCCGTCCCTCCCCATGATGCGGAGACTTCTCCAGCTGCCCCTTCAGGGGACCCAGGTCACTTATCCGGTTGGAGAAAGGCCTCCCTCCCTCCCCAGGGCTCAGTGGCCCTTCTCCTATGCCCCTGACACAGTGAGCTGGGAGGAACAACAGGCTAGTGTCCTTGTGAGTCTCAAATGAGATCATTATTGTAAAGCGTTGCCTGGCACATAGTAGGTGCTTAATAAAATGTTAGCTATCATTATCACCACTAAAAAAGCATGGGGAGCTTGGACACAAGCTGTCACAGAAGATAACAAAGAACTTATGGGGGAGGGAGGTGTTGAAACAGAGGACTTCCAAGCATTCCTGATGAAAAGCCCAGAGCTGCAAAACAACTAGGAAGTGCAAACACAGGCATCAAGAGAGACACAGAGAGCTAAGCATTAACTAGCAATCATAAGGAACTGCCTACATTCTGATAGAGGAGATCATACATGTGGTCATCATCATCAGGAGAAAATCAAGTGAGACGGGGCCTGGAGCTGTTCTGTTCTTCTTAACGTCTTGATATTCTTAAAAGAAGAATGGAAAGGCGAGGGAGAGGAATATATTGGGGGGGAGTAGGATTGGAGAGGAAGGACAGAGCCTAGACATCATATGTCAAGAAATTATTGAGGAAAGCTGCCCCCACATCTTAGATCTAAATGCTCTAAATCACTACTGATTAGAGATATGCAATTAGAGATTTATAAAACCACCTCACACCTATCAGAATGGCAAATGCTGGAGGGGTTGTGGGAAAACTGGCACACTAATGCATTCACTCTTGGTGGAGTTGTGAGCTGATCCAACCATTCTGGAAAGAATTTGGAACTATGCCCAAAGGGCAACCAAACTGTGCATACTCTTTGATCCAGCAATACCTCTTCTAGGTCTGTATCCCAAAGAGATCATAAAAAGGGAAAAGGACCCACATGTACAAAAATATTTATAGCAGCTCTTTCTGCGGTAGCAAAGAATTGGAAATGGAGGGGATGCCCAACCATTGAGGAATGGCTGAACAAGTTGAGGCATGTGATTGTGATGGAATAGTACTGTACTATAAGAAATGATGAGAGGGGTGGTTTTAAAAAAAAAACAAACAAAGCAACGCCTATATTGCAACTGATGCAAAGTGAGGTGAGAAGAACCAGGAGAACATTGTGCACAGTAACGACAATGTTGTAATGATAATCAACCATGAAAGACTTGGCCACTCTGATCAATACAATGACCCAAGCCAATTCCAAAGGACTTATGATGATAAAGAATGCTATCCCCCTCCAGAGAGAGGACTGAGGAACTCTGAGTGCAAAAGGAAGTGGAATTTTCTCACTTTGTTTTTCTTGCTTTTTAAAAAAATACGGATAACGTAGAAAAGCTTTGCATGATTTTACATGTGTAATTGATATCATATTGCTTGCCTTCTCAGTGGGTGGGAGAAGGGTGGGAGGGAGATTTTGGAATTCAAAATTTAAAAAGAAAAAAGTTAAATAATTTTTTTTTTAGAAAGCAAAAAGAAAAAAAAACTTAGGAACTCTGATCACCCCAATGACCAAGCAACCATGATTCCAGAGGACCAATAATGAAATAAGTTACTCACCTCCTGATAGAGAAGTATAGGACTCAGTGCAGATTGAGACTTTTAAAATAAAAATGGTCAATGCAGGAATGTGTTTTGCCTAACTATACATATAGTTACTTCTTAATGTGTTAGGAAGAAAGGAAGGAGAGAGAGAAAGGAGGAAAGAAAAGAAAAAAGAAAAGAAGAAAGGAAGAGAAAGAAAAAGAAAGGAAGGAAGGAAAGAAGAGAGAGAGAGAAGAAAAGGAAAGAGAGGAAACAAGCACTTCCTGCGTATCTTCTGTGTGTCAGACATGGCGCTAATAGTTTTACAACAACCTGGGAAGTAGGTGCTAGTGTTATTCTCATTTTACACCTGAGGAACAGCTAGTTAATGTCTGAGGCTGCACTCAAACTCCGATCTTCCTGAACCTGACTGCCAGTGCTACTCAGGTGTGCTGCATGAGGCTAGATGTCCCCTCACTGGCTTGTTCTCCCCACATCCAGTGTGTCCGTGACCCTCTTCCTCCCTTGTCACTTTCCTCAGCAGAGCTCTTACCTCACCTTTCCTGTTCCCAAGAACACCAAGGGGACCCCTACTGAGAGCCCTCATCTCCCCCACTCTCCACCTCAAAGCTCCCCCAAGCACCCCTTTGCCTAGCCTCTCCAGCAGCCTTCTCAAGGCTTCCACCTCCATGAGTGCCCTTGACACTATGACCTCCTCTGTCCCCTCAGGGCTGACCCCTCCCCTCACATTCAAACTCTCCCAATCTACTGCTCCTTGTCCACTTCCTATAAAGACATCCTGGTCTCCCACTGACCATGCCATCCCAAAAGTGACCATCTCATCCCTCTCCTGCCTCCACTTCCCCAGCTCCTGCTCCCTTCTCAACCCCCCCACACACACACTGAAACTGCTCTCTCCAAGTCACCATAAACCCGATGACTTTGGCTCCATCTTGCTCAACCTCTCTGCAGCCTTTGACACTGCTGACCATCCTCCTTCCTGACACTCTCCCTGTCCTCCTTCTCCCTCTCTGACCACTCCCTCTAAGTCTCCTTGGCTGGATCTTCAGCTGGGTCATGCCACTAACAGTAGGTGTCCCTCCCACTCCCTCTTGGCCCTGCTTCACTTCTCTCGCCACAGTCTATTCCTTGATGAAATCTTCTGAGGCTGTCTACACTGGGGGGCCTTCACTCTCTCACTCTCTTCTTAACCCCTTACAATCCAGCTTCTGACTTTATCATTCCACCAAAATAGCTCTCTCCAAAGCTACTAATGACTTCTTTGTTGCCAAATCCAGAGGTCTTTTCTCAATCCGCACGCTCCTTGGCCTCTCTGCAGCCTCTGACCCTGCTGGTCACCCGCTCCTCCTGAATTCTCTCTTCTCTCTAGGTCTGCTGATTCTCTTCCTACATCTCTGACTGCTTCTCTGTCTCCTAGGCTGGATCCTCATCAGGGCCACACCCTCTAACCATGGGTGTCCCTCCAGGCTCTGTCCTGGGTCTTCTCCTCTCTCTCTCTCTCTCTCTCTCTCTCAACTCTACTTCCCTGGGGGATCTCATTAGCTCCCATGAATTTAATTACCATCTCTGAGCTGATGATTGTCAGATCTACCTGTCCTGCCCCAACCTCTCTGCCGACCTCCAATCTCACATCCACAACTGCCCTTCAGACATCTCCAACTGGACGTCCAGTAGATATCTGAAACTCAACATCTCCAAGCCAGAGCTCCTGCTCTTTTCCTCTAAACCCTCCCTTTTCCTTCCCTGTTACTGTAGAAGACAACCTCAGCCTACCATTCTGGAGTCCTCACTCAATCTCACCTCCCATATCCAATATGACGCCAAGGCCTTGTGCTTTCCTGTCTGCAGCCTCTCTTGGACATGCTCACCTCCTCTCCTCTGACCCTGGGGTAGACCTTCATCTCCTCACCCCTGGACTATGGCAATAGGTGTGTGGGGTGGCGGTGGGGGGGTCTGCCTGCCTCCGGTCTCTCCCCTGTTCCAGTCCATCCTCCACTCAGCTACTGAAGTGTTTTCCTAAAGCACAGGTCTGACCATGTCAAACCCCCCAATTCAATGAACTCCTGTGGCTCCCTATGGCCTCCAGGATCAAATACAAAATGCTCTAAAAGCCCTTCATGACCTAGACCCCTACCTCCCTTTCCAGGATTCTTACACCTTACTTCCTGACTTGTTGTCTTCAGTACAGTGCCCCCAGCCTCCTGGCTAGGACACAAACACCCTCAGGCCCAGCCATTTTCTCTGGCCATCCCCCATGCCCGGAGTGCTCTCCTCCTCTGCTCTGACCACCGACCTCCTTGGCTTCCTGTAAGTCTCCACTAAAATCCCACCTTCGGCAAGAAGCCTCTCCCAGCCTCTCTTCATTCTAGTGCCTTTCCCTCTGTTGATTATTTCTTATGTATCCTGTCTAGAGCTTGTCTGTGTATAATTGTTCACTTGTTGGCTCTCCCATTAGACCGTAAGCTCCTTGAGGGCAGGAACTGTCCTTTGTCTCTTTTTGTATCCCCAGCACATTTTGTCGTTGTTCAGTCCTGCCTGACTCTTCACGACCCCATTTGGGGCAAAGATACTAGAGTGATTTCCCATTTCCTTCTCCAGCTCATTTTACAAATGAGGAAACTGAGGCAAACAGGTTTAAGGGACTTGCCCGGGTTCATATCGCTAATCAGTGTCTGAGGCCGAATTTGACCTCGAGTCTTCCTGACTCCAGGAGGAGATGGAGGGTGTGGAGGTGATGGTGATGGAGGAGGAAGAGGAGAGGGGGGAGGAGGAGGAGGAGAAGGAGGAGGAGAGAGCCCGGTGGCGCCAACTTCCTGCCGTGCCTAGCAGGACAGGATCTTTGTCAGGTACCGGCAGCCGCCAGGCAGGTCTCCAGAGGGGCTGGAAAGAACCACTCCAGAAGTTAAGGGCTGGTCTGCGGGCCGGGAAACCGGAGTACAGGTGGGAGGGATGGAGAGGTAGCCCCGCCAGGAGGCGGGAGATGTGAGGCTGGTCAGTCGCGAGGCAGGCGCGGGAAGGGGAGGGCGGGCCACGCGGAGGCGGGTCCGAGGGCGCGGGCCGCAGAGGGAGGGGCGGAAAGAGTAGGAGAAGGCGAAGCGCGGGGGCCGGGCGGCGTGCGGGGACACGTCGGGCCGGCCCGGGCAGCTGCCCTGGGCTCCCGGCCAAGAGCGTGTCGAGGCTGTGCCCGTCGCCCCCCCAGCCCCGAGAAGGGCGGCCCCCGACACGGGGACAGAATCCGGGACAGACGGACGGCCGGACGCAGACAGACGGAACAGAAAGCGTGCCAGGGACTGGCAGCCCCCGGGCAGGGAGCGGGTCGGGCCGGAGCCCTCCCTTACCTGGCCGTCCTGGCCGCGGCCGCCGCCAGCGGGGAGCCCCGGGAGCCGGTGACTGCCCTGGGTCCCCGGATCTCCGAACTCTCGGGGGTCCGGGCTGGCGGCGGGAGGGCCCCCCGGCAGAGGCTGAGCCAAAGCAGCTGAGGCGGCGGCCCTTGGGGCTCGGGGCTGAAGCCGGGTCGGGGGCAGCAGGGCGCTCCTCCCTCGGCCCGGCCCTCCGGAGCCTCCAATCTGGCCCAGCTTGGCCGCGACCACCTCCCGGTCCTCCGTCCTCCGTCCTCCGTCCTCCGTCCTCCGTCCTCCGTCCT